TAATATTATATTATAATTATATGTAATTATAATTATAATTACACTTACAATTCTTATAATTATAAGTATAATCAATTGTAATTATTATAATTATATCTCTAATTAATTATAATTATAATAATTATAATTATAATTATAATTACAATCATAATTATAATTATGATTATAATTATAATTATAATATAATATTATAATAATATAATACTAATAATAATAATAATAATAATCGTATTATTATTAATATATGGTAATAATAATATTAATATAATAATATCGTTATGATAATATTAATTGTATTTATAGTACTACTTTTATTAATGTTAATTAATGATTAATATAATTATAATTATTATTAATGTTAATATAATAATATCATTAATATAATAATATCGTTATGATAATTAATGTTAATATAAATATAATTATTATTAATTATAATTATAATAATTATAATTATATTATTATATTATAATATTATAATTAATTTTAATATAATTATAATTATTATTAATTATAATTATAATAATTATAATTATTATTAATTATAATTATAATAATTATAATTATACTTATAATTATATTATAATTATAATTTATGTTTATAATTATTATTTTTATTATAATAATAATTATTATTATTACTATTGTAATTATTTTACGGAGTAATTATAATAATATTCATAACTATAGTTACAATTATAGAGATAAATATTGTAATTATAATTACAATTATAATTATATAAGTAATTATAATTAAAAATATAATTACAGTTATAATTATATCTATATTTATAATTAGTGTAATAGGTATAAATTTTTTCATTTTAAATTTAATTTTAATTATTATTATTATTATTATAGTTACGATCATAATTATAATTTTATTTAAATTATATTTGTAATTGCAATTATAATAATTATAATTATAATTATAATCATAATTATAATCATAGAAACATTCAAATCAGATCAGATCAGAAAGATTCAGATCAGATCAGAAGGATTCAGATCAGATCAGAAACATTCAGATCAGATCAGACCAGATCAAAAACATTCAGATCAGATCAGAAAGATTCAGATCAGATCAGATCAGATCAGAAAGATTCAGATCAGATCAGATCAGATCAGAAAGATTCAGATCAGATCAGATCAGATCAGAAAAATTCAGATCAGATTAGATCAGATCAGAACTTAAAAAATTCAGATCAGAAACATTCAGATCAGACGAAGAGAACAGCTTCGTAGAAAAAGCACATCTTTTTCTTGCTAATCACCGCCATAGGTTCACCACACACCGTCTCCTTAGCCACGCTCATTGATTTGACGGCAGCCTTTGGGAAGATAATAAGGAGGCATTGTTTTATGTGTGTAAAATCTCACGTAGATTAATACGATCAATAATACTAGTATAATCTTTTCTTCTTATTTCTATCTCCCGATATTTATCAATTCTGCTTCTTAGGTTTAACCTTGTTGTGATTTGTGACCAATACAGTTAATTGGATTGATTTTTTGGTAATTACTCTGATGTGATCTGTCTACCGTATGTGTTACATTGAATATGGGCAGTGCACATTGCAATACATAGTCTTGAATATGGACTACGAACATGACAATAAATAGTGTTGTATACGGGCAGTAAATGAATGCATTGATGGCAAATGCAGTGATTACGATCATTAGTTCAGTAATACAGAGCAGTAATGCTATCATGAAATGCAATATATTTAATTAGGTGTAAAATAATAAAATTATTAAATCTAAAAAATTAAAAATTAAAAACTATAAATAAATTTCTAAAGTGAATCAGAAGAGAATTAATTTTGGCGGAAGTGCAGTGATAATTACCGGATATGCAGTAATCAATAATTAGAGAAGAGAAGAGAATCCATTTTACTGCCTGATAACTTTTCTAATAAGCAAAATTGATTCTCTTCTCTTCTCTGATAAGCCTGATAAGCCGAAAAACAATGTTGTCAAATGAAGTCTAAATAATCATATGAGCTTTTCGAAATGTGTAAGGAAGAGATTGTCAAACTTGATTAGAGCAATGCACTCAATGTTCTATAAATAGAATGTGCATTATTTGAGTATATAGATTTTCATTGAAATCAAAACCGCTTGTTTTACAATTTGAAAAGCATTTGGCCGATCACCTTCAGGCTTCAGCTCGATAATTTTGTCACTTTCGATGTAATGTGATAATTGTTCGTATCGGTGGGCGTAGCTCAACTGGTAGCGAGGGAGTGCCACAAGGGTTAGGTCTCGGGTTCGAATCCCGGCAACTGTGATGAGGGGTTACTATGCTGAAAAATGCATAGGGCTTCTGCAAGTACCGGGGACAAAGCCTCACTCGCTATCTCTCATATTGTGATTATAGTCCAATTTACATCCTCCCATCGTGCCGTCCGATCGGTGTTGGGGGGCCCTCGGGGATGGGGTGTCATCCCTTTTTTTATAATTGTTCGTTAAATGATTTGCACTATTGTTTACTATAGTCTATAGATGCTGCTCAAATGACCGGTCTCATCCTTTTTACCTATGTTATCGTATGAAAAAAGGGAAAACTGTCAAATAGGTCCTCGAACTTTCATAAAAATGTCAATTAAGTCCTTCTATAGGAGACTCTGTCCAGCCGTCGCGATTTGGGGTGGTTCCCGCTGGAATTTTTTAATGAAATTTTTTGAGAATCTTATTCATCAAGTCTAGTTTACTCAAACCAAATTTCAGCTAAAAATTCAATCGAAAACACATTCAAATTAATTCTTGAAGATAACTGCGCATTTTTGCGTTCTCGAATTAATTTGAATGCGTTACCAATGAAATTTTTAGCTGAAATTTGGTATGAGTAAACTAGACTTGATGAATAAGATGCTCAAAAACTTTCATCAAAATATTCCACCGGGAACCGCCCCTAATCGCGATGGCCGGACAGAGTCTCCTATAGAAGGACTTAATTGACTTTTTTATGAAAGTTCGAGGATCTATTTGACAGTTTTCCCTATGAAAAAATTGCCCCTTTTTTCTATACCTTTTTGTATACTAGTACTACGTATATAGTAAGATAACAGTACTCCGTATAATGCATACGTAGTAGTAGTAGGGTGGATATATTGTTTTGGTTGAACAAAGCGGAATCTTATCAAATTGAACTAAACCGAACCGATATCGAATTATATACAAATAGATTTGAATTTGATCGTATTTCTTCCAAATCGTATTAAACCGAAATGAACCGAAATCAATAAAATCTTAACAAAACCGAATTGAGCTAATGAAATTCATTTTTTTGCTAAAGAAATTCAACAAAACCTTCATATATTATTAAAAAATTAGAATTCTAAACCAAACCTCACCGAACTAGATCGAACTGAACCAAATTGAATCGAACTGAAACTGATTAAAACCGAACCGTAAACCGATGTCCACCCCTACGTAGTTGTTCAAACTAATAAACTCTTCCTATAAATACACATTATCCGACTCACATTACAAATGGCTCAACTTTAACACTTTTTTGCCTTTAGTTATCTAAGTTATATAAATGGCTCCATTCTAATACTTCTTCGCTTTTAGTTATCTAAGGTATACATTACCAGGTTTATTGACCACCAAACCCCCCAACATTTTGATTTGCCCTTCTCATTAACAACTCTTATTACAAATCTCATTCCCTCCATCTACATGGGCTTCAGCATTGAGAAGAAATGAAGCATATCATTTCAATCTCCTTCTATTGCTATTCATTACCACTTCATCTCGATGATGATCCCGAAGAATTTTTCCTTCAATCCCACTGCCAGGCTTTTTTGCAATTTTTCCCATTCATATACCATTAATTCATCAGTTGTGAACCTTCACCTTTTCTTTTGTTCGTTTCAAACTAAAGATAAAACTATATAGTATATGCTACAAAAAATATTTCAGTATTACTTTGAATGTATGAAAAAATCAGTGTATGTTCTGATCGATTTTGATGTAATGCGTGGAATTTTATACGGAGTAGAAAACAAGACTATAACTTTGTGTGTTTATCTTAGAAAAAGATAATCAGATTGCTTATGTTTCAACTAAATGTTTCATTATCCTTTTTATAATTATGTGTACATGTCTGAATTTTCTCGTGGATTCAGAACACATTTTTTTTCTCTATCAAAGAGAGGTCACACACATTACTGAAACTCAGATACCTCATAATATGAAAATTTTGATGGACGAATGAATATCAGATTTTATTTTCATTTCATAAACAAATTGTATAGGTGAATCCTTCCCAAAAACACTACCCGTCACCTAAATGGTTGCAAAGATGACTCTAGCAGTTTAGCACATTCTCACAAAGAATGGGTTTAAAGATAACTCTTCTGGGAAATGCTACTGGGAAATGCTAAACATAACAATAGCAAATGTTACTTCCCGTACATATCCAGTCTAATATTCTTCTGGGAAATGCCCCCTAAACATAACTCTAGCCTTAGTGATGTGTTTAAAGAAATCATGAAAATAGAATAAGCTATGTAACTGTTAGGATATATTCACCGTTTAAAAGATTAATGATCATCTCGGTTAGGAGTAATTGTTGTTGGAATGCTAAACAAAAAGTATACTCATTTAGCTAATTCACTAAAAAATACGGAGTATATATATTTCTTCTCTCTCTCTCTTTAATGCTTAAACACAGTTCTAAGGTTGTGATTAACAAAACCTTTCTTTTCTTACACTAAATAGCTGTTAGTTTTGAAAGAGAAGCATAATACGGAGTAGTATTATTTGAAGAAATGTAGTACGTTTCAGGGCAATATACACTTCATATGTCCCAAATGTTGATCACACATTCCTTTTCAGGGCATCCTAAGTAGTTTCATTTCGTTTCAAAAATAAAATTATGCAACTTGCATTAATCAATCCTTTTGGGAATAAGACTTGGATGTTGTTGTTGTTGCATTAATCAATCCTTTCAGAATACATCTCAAACAATCTAAAAAATAGTAAAAATGTAATTAAGAACCAAAAAAAAGAAACTTGATTATTTATGAGTTTCATTTACAGCAAAAAAACAACACATAACACAGCTTCTGATCGCAAATAACCTGGAATTGCTGAAAATTTTTCAACATTGGACATCAGGTGTGTCTCCTTCTGTCCAAGTTCAGCATGTTCCACAGGTCCCATCTATATATCGACCGAAAAGCTATTAAAAAAGAACAGTAAAAGCTACACACAAACTAAGTTGCAGATACAAGAATTTCCTACCCAAATTGTGGTAGGATGAAAAAAATGACAGATTCCATCATCATCATATCAGGTCCATAGTTTGTTCATGCAGGTTTAGTCCATACCAGGAAGCTCCTTCGAAAGGTGCAACAATCAAGTCGCCACATTGCGAATAAAGTGTCGTTCCCAATCCTTGGTTTGACAGGTCAAACGCCTCATCAGTAGCTTTTACATTATTAATAGTTCCATTTAAAGGCAGTTCCAGGTGATTAATTACTTGAGCAGGTTTGTTGTCTGGAGAACTATTGTTGTCTGTGGAAGTAGTGGACTTGTTTTCTGACAGGTTGACTGTGGTTATGTCATGTATGCTTGATCTCCTTCTGTCTTTCCCTCCTGAAAGCTGCCTGATGAAGTACTTCTGAGCATGACTAGCAACTTGAGTTGGAGTTCTTGTTGTCACGAAATTGCGAGATATATTTCGCCAATCTCCTTTACCATACTTCTTCAGCCCCAGCAGAAATTGCCTGAAGAAATGTTGCCAAAACAGAACAGTTACGCATTAAACCGTGGAGTATATACATAGCTGATAGGTTCAAGATGGCTTAACAATACATACTGTAGGAGTCTAGGTATTGAATGGTAAGACACAATTGTGGAAATAATAAGAATCTATCAGGCTAAGAATGAGACATTAGTGGTTTGGTGACAAAGCGCGTTTTACCTTAAGTCTTTGTTGGCCAACCAAATTTAAAGATACAAACTCATTTATAAGGGATCTTTGTCTAGTTTGACCTTTTGAGAAGAAACCCAAAACGTAACGCGCAGTATTTTATTTTATGGTTTAAAGTAAGAAATGTACTTTTCTAAACAAAATACTATTTTGGTAAATTTTGTTGAGAAAACTGCTTTTAATCCATAGTAGTCTGTCCTTACTCCTCAAAGAGGCACTCGGTGTTCGGTGTTCGCCTTGAGGGGGTACCCCCAAGTGTTGGCTTCGGGTTGTTTAAGCCGGTGACCTTATACAAACCAACAATTGATGATTTGCAATCCATTAAAGTTATAACTATTGTTTCAATACTATCAAGTCATCCTAAAAGTCCCTAAAATCCTCCCAAAATTTGGGAAAAAGTGTTTTGCAATGTTCTTAAAGTCGTCCTAAAGTCCTTTAGTTGAAATAGAATTTTGAGAGCCATTCTGAAAACATTTACATTAGTCAAACACTCCTAAGATCAGTCCAAATAATCAGGATCAGATCAAGTAAATCAATATTCACACTTATAGACTTATGATTCCATTTACAAGTCAACCTCATAAAAAGAAGAGCAGCTCAATCCTAACTGTGAGAACATAATTCATCAAATTAGAAGAGTTAGTCAAACTACCTGTGTTCTTCCTCAGTCCAAGGCACTCCCTTTTTCCTGTCATGGTCAGAAGAGCGGCTTGAGCTGCTACTCCTCTTCCCACCTGGACCAAAGAATTGCCTGTGGGCATGATGACCATAATACCCCTGGTAGTCATCTTCCACCCACTCCAATGTAAAAGAATTGGCTGCTGAATACTCTTCAGGCACTGGAACAAGGCCTGACTCTATATCAATGATATCAGAAACCAATTCTCTATACTGTCTCATGACATCATTGACTGTTTTTCCAGGTATCATGGATGCCACATTGTACCACCTGTCTGGGGTTTCTTTGTCAAACAAGGCAAGGGCATCCTCAAACCTCTTGTTCTCTTCCCTGGTCCATTTCCCATTGCTTTCACAAGCAGCCATCATATGTACTGAAGATAGGAAGCAAACTAGAGATCTGAGTAAAAAGTGCATGAATTGAGATTTAAAGAGAAAACCCAAAGTTGAAGGCAGTCATAAATGGGTGAATCTATATATTGAAAGGGTCTGTGGTGTGCAGGGCACTAAGGAGAGATCTAAAGTGGAAGAAAGCATAGAGTCATTGAGGGAGGGTGAGAGCTGTTGTGTTGTAATTGGGTAGAATGGTTGCTTGTGGGGCCTGGGGTCATATGGAACTTTATTTTAATCTACATGTGGAATTGATAAAGAGGAAGAGAGAGAAAGAGCTGCCCAATGGAAACTCCAAAAGGGCCATCTGTCAATGCTGATGAAGATATTTATGGGCAATTTTGGAAGTGCAGAGAAAATAATAAGGCAAGGCATGGCAATGGTTTCTCCAGACATTCTCCCATTCAACTTCTTCCTGGGGTTACTACAAAGTACTTTCAGACTGCTATTTAACTCCAACCTCTCAAAGTTTTCTCAAAGTTTCAATGTCCAACTCGTTTGAACCAGACATACAAATTTCTGGAATTCACTAGAGAGCCAGCAAAGGTTTATCAAGCAGTTTGATTTCAAGGCCAGTAGAATTTTTGGGATAAAATATGGAATTGCCCCTCAATTTAGTAAAAAAAGAATTCTTTATACTATTAGTTGCATTAGACATTGTCAAATTTAAGAGTGAAAATTTGGAATCGAAAACCGGAGAATCGATCAGAATTGAACCCTATAACTCAACTGGGTTTGTACAAATGATCGTTAGCGGTTCATGTATGCATGAAACCGTTAAAGATTGCAATAATTTAACAATAAGAACCACAAAAATAAGTCAAAAAAAATCTGTTAAGACCCGGGATTCCATCCTAAAAGGTCAACCTGATAGGAGGAGTAGCTCATGTCTCAATATAGCACTTTATTCCTTCACAAGTTTCCGGTGTGGGAATTTAACACCCCTCCTCACGACCAGACACTTCGTCGTGATCGTGCCGTCATTCATTTTTTTCATCAGTTCGTCATTGTCATTTTTTCATGTTGTCATTTTTCATAAGGGGGCCAACACCATGAACCGATTTGGCTCTGATACCATGTTAAGACATGGGGTTCCATCCTAAAAGGTCAACCTGATAGGAGGAGTAACTCATGTCTCAATATAGCACTTTATTCCTTCACAAGTTTCCGGTGTGGGAATTTAACAAAATCAAAGAGGATGTCACAGGTTCGAATCTCATCTCAGTTCAAGAATGTTGGCCTTAACAAAACATATACTATAATAGGTTAGCAAGTTTTGCCAAAAAAAAAACACAAAAATAAGAGCAACAATACACTCAATGATATTTAGTTAACATTCAAATATAAGCAATGAAATTAGAAGTAATAAATTATTGTACATGGTTGAATACATTAATATCATTTTTACAAATCAAATTTTGTTCAATCGGGTAAACTTCATAAATATAAAAACAATCCAAATAATTTATGCATGATTGCATATATTTTACTTTAATATCTCCAAGATAATTGTGATTATTAGTTTTATTATACATTACTCTTATGCTTCTAGTATGAAGAATGCAATGATCTTACTTATACATTTAATTCAATTTACTTTTACGTTTTGAAAGATCTGAAGTGAATGTCTTATTGTTACTACAATGAACGTCTTATTCATTGCTACCACATAACAACGACTTGTATATTCTATCTATGAATTGAAACTAAAATAATTCTTTATTCTAAAAGTGTTTACTTAATTAAGTTGAGGTTTAATGTTTGAAGTGATCGATTAGAACTTCAGATAATGGTTAACAAATACTCCTTTTTTGAACCAAAAAAACTCATTCTGTTGGAAAATAGTTATCACACTTTTATGTTTGAGATGTTCCAAAATGCTTTAGAGTTTAGAGTATGGTACCCAAAACGCCTATTTTTCAAAGTTCAAACACTACGAAGTAATTTGGAAACGAGGGAGCATTACGCTTTAACAAACATCAAATTCATTGTAAAAAAAAACATCAAATTCAAATGACAGCCATTCTCACGTTTGAGTACATAATAAAAACCTTTGAGTATATTATACTCCGTATTCACCTTTGAGTATATGATGTTATTACTTTCACAACTTGCCCTTTGACATTTGTCCGACAGGTCAAATCATTTTAAGAAAGCTACTACTACGTATGAATTATTGTTTGAAGAGCTTGACGAAAAATCATATTGCCATATTGGCAGTTTTATGCTCTTTTTGATAATTTTTGCATACATATCCTATTCTTTTTAGAAATTGAAAATTCGTAGCTTATGCTTAGTTTTCAATAATTTTCTTTTGTTTCCAACTCTTTCCAAATTACTTTATCTCTTTCCAACTCTCATAATGTTATCTCTTCCCAAATCTAATTAACTACCAAATTTTACCGAAACAAGAACATATTATGAATTTCTGATTATATATTATTATTTATTATACAATCCACTGGGAGATAGACAAATTTAGCGTACCAACTTCCATTTCTTACAAATTGATATTTCAACTTAGCTTGTAAAATAGGAGTAGCATTCACTTGGTTTTATGATTTATGAGGATAAAAGGTTTCCACAAAATTTGTCATAATGGTTTGGTGAGAATATTGTAAATCCAGTCCTGTAATTTGTATACATGTTCATTTTAAATAGAATGATATGAAATTTTAGTTCTATACCTTTCAATTATTCTCATTATTTTTTTTGCTCGAATTCATTTATTCTCATTATATGTCATGTTATTTACACCGAAAAGTACATTCCTCAAAAATCTACCAAATAAGGTGTTGCCGTCAAAATTTCCCCCATTTTCATTTTCAGTGAAATAGTCGCTCATGTGAATATATAGATATATTCATTTTCATTTTCATTTACTCCAATGCCCCAAAGGCTCCCACCTACGGTGGAGTAAGGGGGGGTCGGATGTACGCAGTCTTACCCCTGTACTAAAGCACAGAGAAACTGTTTCCGGATGATCCATAGTGAAAATCGCGTCCAAAATTGCATGGACTGACTGCTGCTTCACAACAAAGAAGCGCAGACAGTTTAGTGAGTCATTTTGCTTAATTCCATCATATTCTCAAGCCAAAAAATAATGAATCTTTGGCTCCATTGCAAATGATGGAAAATGTGGATAGATATACGGAGTATTAATTAATTAAATTTGTGAGTGGTAAAATTACAAGATAAAATGCGGGCAAATAATTGGACCACAAATAAAAAATTATTGCAATTTCAAAAATATAGAAATTGAATTAAAAAAAAAATTCTTGAATTAAAAAATATAGAAATTGAATTAAATTACCACATGAAAGTAGGGAAGTGATAGGATGATGGCCAACTTCTTGAATGAGGAGAACAAAATTGCCACAAAATAATTCCATGTTACCATAAAAAGCATGACTAGGCACAACGTGGCATTGAGTGAGAGTGTACGGTGTTAATTTCGAGTTTCATGTGGCATTGTCAACTGCACATCAACTTTTGTTAAGCTGGTTGATTGCTACTCTGATTAAGCTTTTCCGTCATTGTTTAAAAACTTCCAAAAATTGAAAAAAAAAATCTCTAATACTAGTACAAATTATGGCTAATTTTACGCTAAAAGATAAGTTGTAGAGAAAAGGTACAACAAATATGATTGAATTAAAGTTGGATTTCCATTAGGAAAAAGGCAAGATGGAATGACATTATGCCAATAATAATGTAAACGAGGAGAAGACGTGTCATTTCTCACGTATATACCCTTAAAGTTACAAACAAACGAAATTGTAATCAGAAAGTTTTCCCCGTTAAACGTCATTTTCTTGCCTTCAGTGGATTTATGCAAAAACAAAACAAAGAAACCTTCAGTGGATTTTCCACGGAAACTCTGCAGGCTAGCCAACAAAAAAAATAGAATGTTTAATACTGCATATTAGTCATGGACCCGGTTCGGGCCGCCCGGACCGGGACCGGACCGGCCCACCACTGTGTGGGCCCGGAACCGGCCCGGTTCTCGGGTCCGGGTCGGGCCTAGGCCCGGTGGGGGGGGGTCCGGGCTCGGGCCTTGTATTTGGCGAACCGGCCCGGCCGGGTCGGGCCCGGGTCCTGGCCAAAAACTGTTTTTTTTTTCATTTTTTGGGGCTTTATTGAGTTGGGCTTGAAGTTTAGGACCGGTTTGGGGGGTTTGGGGGGGTGGGGGGTGAGGGGGGGGGGGGGAAGAAAAGAAAAAAAAAATAAACTAACCGGGTGGCCCGGCCCGGCCCGGAACCGGACCCGGAACCGGTTGCCACCGGTTCGGGCTCGGGCCCAACAAAACAGACCCGAGGCCCGGCCGGGCCTAGGCCCAAACCGGGCCCGAACCGGCCCGGGGGCATCCCTACTGCATATATGAGGTATAATGCACCAAACCCCCTCATGAGATATAAATTCAGTCCATTAGTCCCATGTGGTTATTTAAAAAATGCGTCAAACCGGGAGCGTTTTAATTATTTATGCGCAAACCCCCCTCCAAGAACATATTTTACAATTTTGAAATCATTTCTCGTAATAATATGAATGAATATGCAAATAACTTTGTCAAAGTTTCTAAACTATATAAAAAACTAATCATTTTCCATTTTTTGGAAATTAAATTTATTCATAAAAGGGGGTTTGCGCATAAATAACCATTACACAAGGGGATTTGTCGCATTTTTTAAATCACATGAGACTAATGCGCTCTATATTCATATTTTATGAGGAGGTTTGCTGAATTGGACTCTTCGTTACATGTGTATCACTTTATTTTAGGTTACTACGTACAAAAGTTAATGTTATTCAGCCTATTTATGCTACTTTTTACACCAGTTCTATTTATTGTTATTAAAAAGATTGACTATGGTAGGGGAGTAATACAAATAAATGTTTACACACTACTCCGTATATTTTATTTTATTTTAACATGCCCCACACATAAATTGGTTAAAAAGATTATAAGTGAGCTAGTCTAAAATTTTATTATTTTAACGCACCCCACATATTAATAATTGTATATTTTGGCCTTGTTTGGCAATCGGCCGTTGGTTGTTAGCTGTTAGCTGGTTATGACAGCTGATTGACAATAGCGGGTTATGTCAGCTATTTTAGTTAGCTGATAATGTCAGCTAGTTGTCAGC